CACTCATCTGGGAAATGTGCCATTATGCTGTAGCTTAAGTGCTGACGCTGTGGAAGTTTATCGCGGGTATAGTGAGTTGTTAAGGAGCAAAGACACGCGCCTGCCTGCGCCCAGAGGAGCCCCACGAAGGGTAAAAGCTGGACCCTGGAACCACATGGTGCAAGGGGCCAAGTCGGTAAGTCTCTGGCCACTTCCTACCAACCCCCACTTCATCCTGCAGAGAAAGTTGGATCGAGCGACAGGCTGCCCCAAAAGAAGGTCAATGTGAACCGAATCGCCCTTTTAAAGATGTCAAAAAGGGGAGGGTTCTAGTTCTTATTGTCATCAGTTCCCTTGGCAGCCCCCTCTTTAGTACACCAAACGTAAATAAACAGGATGTTTATAAAAGAAATACAGGCACAAAATTTATGTCTTTTCAGAAACGCAATCAACCATAAATGCATCCAAACAAAGCCACATCATACCAGCTTATAATTATAACTCCCACTTACAATAATTATAAAACACTTTCTTACAATAAATACAAAACCCTCTCTTACAATAAATAAAAAAACTCTCTCGTCCACTCTCAAAAGAAGAATTATTTGGCCTGTTTTTTCCCCTTCCCCGACAGACAGGGCAGCTACCCACTCCTCCACTCCTGGTGAGCACACAAATACCCAAGCAAAACATACCCAGTTAAACAAGAAGTAGCTACCTCTAAAACTGGGGGAAACTGCAGTACACCTACAGCGAAAATACTTCCCCAGCTGGCGGTTCGAGCGAGAGTGACTCTTGTGCTTACGAGAATCGGGCAAGACATTTCGACCAATCCTCCAACCTCACATCCCGCGCCTGCGCAGCAAAAGATAGGTATTGATCCAAGATTCTTAGTTCAGCCATTCCTCACCAGTCACGAGGTCGCCACCGCTAGCTCTTTCAGACTCCGAGAATGCGGAAGCCCTGTCGACAACATCGGGGCACAGTTTCACCCGATGAAAGACCGGTGACAATACAAATTCAGCCCATAATATGAAGAAGAAACAGAATATATGTAAATTGAGATTTGAGGTTCTCTGGGTGGTGGGTTGTGATGCCGTGAAGTCTTATGAACTATCCTATTACAAGATTTACATTGGCAATATGTGAACATGAAGGAGAATGAGGCATGTAGAATCACGTCACCCTGATGACGGAGGCAGTATGACCTCTGAGACGTTGGTGGAAATCTACCAGATTACATGGCGCAACAACCCAGAAAACAGCAATATACAGACTCAACACTGTGAAAACCTCAAATCCTACATACAAAGGATGCATTTAATAAAAATGTGTTCTCCAAACAGAAGTACTGTTGCGAAAGTTTATCAGAATAGATAAGCCAAACAATGCTGCACAAATAATGCTCTTGACTTTTATCAAAAGCAGTCACAAGATCTTTAAAATAAACAAACAAACAAACTTGTAAGTGGCAATAGAACACAAACATATCATGTCCTGTATTACATTTAAAATTTCAAAATGAAAGAAATAGAAAAAAGGAGACAAGAATTTGAAATTGGCAAAGAATATATGTAAACAGCGTTTTTTTTTTATAATTAAGTTATCATATACCAGTGTTTTTCATACTGTGGTTTGATGAAGAAGCATTAGCCCATACTTTGAGTTTCCACTTAGTGCCAAGGTTAAGTATATGTAAAGTTATACCTGAAGTCCCCCATATGCCTGTCATGAACAAACATACTGACATGGTTGCTCAAAGTAATGTATCAATTACTGCATTAAAAAGTACTGTGTACAAGTAGGGACGATGGTACTTCCCAAAATCTGGTTACATTTAACTCATTTTTATCACTTGTGAAACAGCCAGTTGCTATACTGAGTAGCTGATGTCAAGAGCAGACATTTGATTAAATATGCCATTAACTACTGGACACTCACGCAATGTAGCAAACACACTCTTTACACACACGCGCTTTGTAACAATGGAAATATTTGTTATCTGCATGGAAGCACAGATCCATTAAAAGGTCAACATGATAAGATAGACTCACAGCATACAAAAAAATATAATCAAGGTTTCGTACAACAGTGAACTAAGATGCAATGTGATAAATTTGAAGTTTCATTGTATAGTAAATCATCTGATCAGCAGTGTCTGCCGATGGCAGAGACCAAAGAAGATGCAGCTTCTCAAGTAAGAGGTTTGGTTTTTATTAAATGTATTGACTAGAAAATATCAAAGGATATTTTTGATCAAGATGCAATTGGGAGGATAATAACATGAATGAATATCAGAAGTTAAGTTCTTGAAGTATGTATTTTATGCTTTTATACTTGAGTTTCTGACGTGTTCTATATCCACTATTGGATTTCTGAAACTTGTAAAATAAATCAAATATAGAACATAATTAGCATACATTTTGTTATTTCATCATTGTTTGTTGAAACATGTATTTTTTTGTGTTTTTCATTTCTTTATAAGGCATCACATGAAATTTCCCACAGATAGAGAAAAATTACTTGTTTTGTAGAAGTTGAACATGTACTTGTATGGATTTTTTTTAGAAAGCTTAACATGCAAACAAAGAAAGTTTAATGTGGCTGTGCAACTTGTTATCATGTGCCCAAATGTTATATTTTTGTTATGATTTATATACCAAGAAAGCTATGTATCATATTTGATTAAATTATTTGTTAGGTGTTTGACAGTCAGTTGTCAAGAAAATTTGATTTCAGTTCAGATTGGTCCATTGTAAACCCTACTTTACACAAAACTAAATTCAAACTCATAGATTTCTTGAAAATATCTCTTTGTACAAAGTAATTGGTATGAGGCATCAAGATCTCACTGAATTTTACAACTTTAACATGACAGATTTTTCGATGTGATCTCTATTTAATGAAGGAAAAATAATTTCTTCATAAGAATTGCTACGCAAAAACAGGTTTGAATAAGCAACATAAAATTCTAACTGAGTGAACATAGGTTTATATGATGATGTTAGGGCAGCAACATGTAATTATGTGCTTGAATGGTCTACAGACAATTGTAAGTCTAATGAAATGATATGAATTATGATACGAGGCCACTCTGGCACCTACATAACATTTAAAGTTCCAGACATTTGAAACCCCATATGCCCTTTTGGTCCAATTTAAATCCACCTGTTATACTATGCTGTGCATGTGTTTTGATAAAACTATTTATCTTTCTCATAAATTCACATACAACTATGAAATAAAAAACACGGTATTCAGAAAGAAGTTGATTTATCACTTGGAAATGTGCCTCAGGTTATTGCTTTGCAAGATTAGAACTAATTGAGATAAATATTACATTAATTTTTATTTCCTACTAGCATATATTCACCTCCGCTCACCCCAAGTGCCTGTATGGCACGTAGCGGAACAAACTTTACTTTACTAGCATATATTTATATTTTCAAAACAATGGAATTTTATTAATATACTTACTTGGAAATTTGGATGCATTTGTAAAAATTTCTTGTGTCTCTGACAACCATCTGTAGCATTCTTTGTTTCTGCTGAATACACAGAGGTTCAAACAATTTACCACATGAGGATTAGTTTCATGTTGCACAGTTTCCAACACATAAATGTGCAGTCCACCACACAACAGTAATGTTTTTTGATGGTTTTCAAACTACACTCTGCACCTCCTTTTCTTACTATTCAGACGGAACAACTGCTATGATTCTGGGTCTAATCTTCCTAGCTATATCAACCTCTATCTTGTCTTCCACTGCAATGGCAAGTTACCCCACATGCCTTCCAGATTACAGAAGCATTCAAGCATTTGGGTCAATTAAATAAAAAGAACAACTTTCTTGTTCACTTCAGAGTTCTGCAACTTATGCTGTGTGAGCCATTCTGTAATTTTTATCAACATAGTCGAAGTGTTTCTTGAAGTTTTGGACTACTCAGGGCTTTAGAGCATTCCCTGATTCTTCACAAAAATTTCCCTCAGCTGCTGACGGTGGATAGTAGGTAACACATGTATCTCCCTCTCGTCTTTCCAGCACACTGCTGTGAGATTACCATGAAGTCTACTTCTATCATTCTTCTTTCCCCTTTATTCATTTCGAGGGCTTCGGGGTTAAAATTTGGAGGCATTCCTTATAGACTGTATAATGTTAAGAGCCGATGGTTGCCTCTCTTCTGGGTTATAATGCAGAAGACAGCCATCGTCTGTCTGTCTGTAAAACCATTACTGAAAATACTTTTAATTTAATTCTTAATATATTCATTAATGTAATATTGTCTTACTTAAATAACAACATCCTTTTTTAATACTAGAAAAGACAAATTTGTTTCCTGATCTTATTGTTACTTAAAATATTATCATGGATATCATTTTAGAATACCAATTATGTTTCTTTATGTTGCCACAAATTAATTAGGTGCCGGTGGAGGAGAGAAGGCGACAGAGATGTCACTGGTGGGATTTTATTACAGTGGAGCCAGTGATGTTCCTGTATATGATGGCATTTATGCTCACGTCAGTTATAGAACAAAGTTTCTTCGTGGACAAAGCCTGCCGCGTCAATCTGAATTTCTCTGACACAATTTGCTCCAACCTCACAAACAAGCAGTACATGGACTACAACAAGCAAGTTCAAGTGAGATTCTATCCAATTATTTCAGGAAAAAGAAAATTGCTATGTTTAATTATCAAGTGTGAACATATAAAGAATCACGAGCCAGAATATCATTATCATAAATAAAATAGTACCTAACACACTGCAAATCCGAAAGCTCCGAAGTGCACGACAGTCTGAAGAATTTACGTGACTAACCTTGTTCTGTTTAGGATTAGTGAGTCTTGACATTAAAAGCAGGCAGCGCAGTAGGCGGATAAATCTGATACTCACATAGCAAGTTTTTCTGCTCTACACACACTTTATACTTGAACTAAAACATTCAACAGGACCTTGTGCCTTCATTATGGTTAAATAAAAGTATTAGATACACATATAATTAATCATTAGGCTATAGGTCGTGCGAGAAGTGCTGGCACTTGCGCAAAGGACTGATGGACCCGTCCGAGGTACGCGCTAGAGGGGTGTCAGCTTCAGTTCGTTTGTAGCTCTAGCTGTATTTAGTTCGGTGCGTCACCGCAGCAGAGGCTGTGCGACCCCCACTACTATTGAACTCCCCTCTCTCGGCTTATACATCGCGCATTTAGGTGCCACCATTACTCGCGCGACCTATACCCATATACCCAGTTTAACACAGAACCCCGAAACTGCCCGATACAAGCGTTATTTTCAGAAGTAAAAATTATTACGAACTACACTTGATATTTTGGAAAGTCGATGATGGAAAGATCAGTGCAGATAATGTATAAGTTTACTACTTATAACCATAAAATAATGATGATCAGAACGGCAAGAATTACTATGAAAATGAAAATAAAACATTTGCTTTCTGCTGCAGGTCATAGTGTCTGATTTTCACCAGTACAATAATGTGGCTACACACGCCATCCCCTTGGTGCTGGCCCTCTTTCTGGGTGCATGGAGTGATCGTCGTGGGCGCAAATTGCCACTACTTCTGGGATTAGTTGGCAAACTCTATTATTCTGTCATGATTATTGTTAATGCGTTGCAAGGTAACAAAAATATTTCAGATGTATTAGAACAGATCTCACAGCTATTGTCCATGCCACACATTTCAAATTGTTGGCCGACAAACTCTGTGTGAAAATTTTGAAAGACCACTGAATATTCATAGGAAATAATTTGTATGTGCCAAACTGTCCATTATCAACACAGTAATTACAAGTGGTTCCAAAATAGCAGGGAGTACTGATGGCAATATTAATGATCATGATAATTCCATTGTATTCTTTGTTTTCTTCATCATTTGGCCAGTAACAGATACAGCACAACAATAAAAATTACAATTTTGCTGGACAAAATTAATGCTAAATAGGATACACGAAGCAAAAATGTATTTTAAAATATTAAGTGTAACTATAGTCAGTGTTATTCTTCCTGGCCTTTGGCCGGCGTGTTAGGGGAATGTAGTGGGGCAACTACTAAACAAATGAAAAATATCTGGCGTACGTACCCAATACTCGAGACAAGCAGAACACTCCGGATTTTTATAGCTCTATAGTGTGGCTGTTAAGGCCGCCATTCACGATCGCTCCATTCGTCCAAATGGCGCGGTGTCGCTCCAAAATTGTACCGTGAATGCGGAAACTGAAGTCCATTGG